CAAAAAGGGGATTTTTTCGGTACAGGGACTAAAAAGGGGCTTTTTCCTATAGTAGAGGGACCAAAAAGGGTATTTAACCTAACTAGAATAGCTGGTGTGGATATGCCAACGTGTAAAAAATGCTTACGTGGACTTAATGATACCCTTCACGTCACTCGGGAAAAGAAAAAAAAAGATTAAATGCTAAATTTGATCCCTCAACTTGATAGGTTTGCATTTTTTTGGTCCTCAAATTATTTTTTTCACTTTTTTATCTTTTAACTCTAAAAATTACACAATTTTGGTTCCTCAATAAATAAGTATGATGTGACAGTTAAATAATTCCACTTGGTATTTTCTTTTAATTTTTTTGATGACATGGAAATTAATATATTATAATTATGTTATATAGATAAATAAAAATATCATGTAAATAAATATTTATATTTTAATTAAAAAATAAAATTATATTATTACCCTCCCCTCCCAATCCCTCTTCTTCCCCTTCTGTCTTTCTCTTTCTTTCTTTCGAACCCAGATCGGCTGGGTTCCGATGAGCTGGGTAGCTGGGTTCGACGAAACCCAGATCTGTTGGGTTCTGTCGAACCCAACTGCTGGGTTCTGTCGAACCCAACTGCTGGGTTCTGTCGAACCCAACTGCTGGGTTCTGTCGAACCCAACTGCTGGGTTCGTCGAAACCCAACCTCGTGAACCTTAGTGATTCAGAAAAGGAAAATGAAAACGAGAACTAACCATCTTGGAACTGAAATTGAGAACCCTAAACTGGTCCAAGGAGAAGTACAGAGAGACTGTTCAAGAGAGAAGCTAAAAGTTGATCCCTTTCTCTCTTTAAAACTCTCCCTTCAGAATTAGAGACGATTTCGAAGGGATAATTTCACCCTTTCAGGTGGATTTTGAAGAACATGCCTGAGCAGATTGTTTTTGAGGATTTTTTTTTAATTATCACTTTTATTTATTTAGTTTATGTTAAGCGGCGCTGTTGTGCTTTGAAAGATATTCGAAAAACCCCCCAGCGTAGAAGTTTGTTCCTTTCTCTTTGCAAAATCCAAAACCCTAGCTTCAAGTTTCAGCTTCAATTTGAGTATCTGGGTTTCTCTTCCTATGAAAATTTCCAGCCATCACTACAATGGATTGCTGACCCAAAGCCCTTTTCTACTCCAATCATCATCCGCATTCTCCACTTCTAACTGTAGACGCGGCTAAGGTGACAACTTTCCCCACTCCTTCCCAGTTTGATTTTGCCCAATTCGAATTGGATGAGTCAGGGCAATGCTTGCCGTAGCCAACCCAAGTTGGACCTGGTCGCGACTGTAGTAAGCCATCTGACCCAGTTCTTCCAAATTTTTCTTCCTTTGTTTCCCCCGTCATGCAACCTCAATTTGGGTCTGGTCGTGGCCGTGTTGCTAGCGAATCATCTACTACTGATGAGTCGTCACTAACTGGGCAATCCAAGCAACTTACTTTCATAGTCGAGTGAAACTAATCTCCCATCTAGCATGCTCTAAGTTTGACCTGGAGCTGGAGGAGGGAAACCTTTGAAGCAATCTGATCCTGCAGCATAAGTCAAGGAAGAAAACCGTCATCAATCTGATCCTGCAGCATAAGTCAAGGAAGAAAACCGTCATCTTTGGGTTTGGCAGTAGCCTTCCAAGTCTGCGTTTGGGTTTGAAAGAAAGAAAGAGAAAGAAAGAAGGGGAAGAAGAGGGATTGGGAGGTGAGGGTAATAATGTAATTTTATTTTTTCATTAAAATATAAATATTTATTTACATGATATTTTTATTTATCTATATAACATAATTATAATATATTAATTGCCATGTCATCAAAAAAATAAAAAGAAAATACTAAGTGGAATTATTTAACTGTCACATTATGCTTAACTGTCACATTATGCTTAACTGATTAAGGAACCAAAATTATGTAATTTTTAGAGTTAAAAGATAAAAAAGTGAAAAAAATAAATTGAGGACCAAAAAAATGCAAACCTATCAAGTTGAGGGATCAAATTTAGCATTTAATCTTTTTTTTTTTTCTTTTCACGGGTGACGTGAAGGGTATCATTAAGTCCACGTAAGCATTTTTTACACGTTGGCATATCCACATCAATTATTCTAGTTAAGTTAACGTGACACGTGAGCAAAAATTACCGGAAGGACCAAAAAGGGGCCAGATTTGTGAATAGTAAGGACCAAAAAGGGGATTTTTCGGTATAGGGACCAAAAATGGGCTTTTTCCTATAGTAGAGGGA